TAAATAAATTTTTTTCGACAATTATGTAAGTGGTTTGCACGTGTATGTTTGGGGGTCTGAAATGGACTAATCTACTTCACATTATTCCTTATGGGAACAAATTCGGTCAGTACTGGCACCTTGAACTACTTCTGGAGTGAAAAAATACGTTTAACCCCCGGGTCCACTGTATATATATATATATATATTCTATATATTTATATATATATATATACTATTATATTATATATTTTATTTTTTTTTTTTTTTCAACAAGTCGGCGTCTCCCACCGGAGGCGGGTGACCCAAAAAATTAAGAAAATCCCAAAAGAAATACTTTCATCATCATTCAACAATTTCACCACACTGCACATTATCATGTTTCTTTGCAGAGGTGATCAGAATCACAACCAGTCTAGAGCATACTCATATAAAGATACGCAAAACATATCCCTCCAACTGACCAATTTCCCTAACCCCTACGTTTGTGTATAAATGTGCGCCAGTGTCTCATTGTACTTCCCATTCCAGGACTACAAGTCCGATATATGTTAATAACCGGTTCCTGAATCCATCCACTAAATATTACCCTGCTCACACTCCAACAGATCGGTCAGGTCCACGTTACATTCGTCTCCATTCACTCTATCTAACACGCTCACGCACGCTTGCTGAAGTCCAAGCCCCTTACACAAAAAACCTCTTTACCCTCTCTCCAACCCTTTGAGGACGACCCTACCCCGCCTTCCTTCCCCTATAGTTTATATGCTTTCCATGTCATTCTACTGTGATCCATTCTCTCTAAATGACCAAACCACCTACTACAACCCCTCTTCTGCCTCTGACTAATACTATTATTAACTCCACACCTTCTCATAATTTCCACTCTCGAATTTTCTGCATAATATTTAACCACCAATTGCCCCTTAACACGGACATCTCCGCTGCTCCAACCGTTCTCCTCGCTGCTGCATTTTACCACAAGCTTCACACCCATATAAGAGTGTTGAGTACTACTATACTCGTTCATACATTTCCCTTCTTTGTCCTTAGTAACGTTTTTCTAGACTCCACATATACCTCAAAGCAAAACTCACATTTTTTCCCTCATCAATTCTATGATTAACCTCATCCTCATAAATCCATTTCCGCCGACACGGTCAACTCCCAAGTATCTGAAAACATTCACTCTTCCATACTCTCTCCTCCCAAATTTGATATCCAATTTTTCTTTTATCTAAATCAATTTGACACCCTCATAACCTTACCTCTTTTCTATGTTCACTTTCCAACTTTCCATTTACACACATTCCCAAAAAATCATCCACTAAACTTTGCAATTTTTTCTTTAGAATCTCCAAGAAGAACAGTATCATCAGCAAAAAGTAACTGTTGTCAATTCCACAATTTTGAATTTGATTCCCCATAATTTAACTCCCACCCCCCTCTCCCAAACACCCTAGCATTTACTACCTTTACAACCCATCTATAAATATATTAAACAACCTTGGTGACATTACAATCCCTGTCCTAAGACCTACGTTTACGGGAAGTAGTCTCCCTCTCTTCTACACACCCTAACCTGTGCCTCACTATCCTCATAAAAAGAACTCTTTACATGCATTTAATAAATTACCACCTATTCCATACTACTTGCAACATCTGCACATTGTCCTCTATTCACTCTATCATATGCCTTTTTCTAAACCCATAAATGCATAAAAATTCCCTATTTTATTAAATACTGTCACATTAGCTTCAATGTAAAACCTGATTCATACACATACCCTACCCACTCAAAACCTCCTTGCTCATCCGCAAATCCTAATTCTGTCTTACCTCTATGCTTTCATTATAACCCTTACAGCTTACACTTTTCCTTGGTTATACTCAGTAAGCTTATTCGTCTATAATTTTTACAGCTCTTTTGTCCCTTTCCCTTTATATAAAGGGACATATACATGACTCTCTGCCAATCCTAGGCACCAAAAAACAAAAAACCCCGGGGAGTACCTTCCCCTCTTTCATACATTTTATTAAAACAAAAGTACCAACACTCCAACACCTATATCCCCATGCTTTTAACATTTCTGTCATGATCCACATCAGTTCCAGCTGCTTTACCCCTTTCATTTTAACGTTTATGCCTCAGTCCTCCCCCCACTTACATTCTTGCTCTTCTTCACTCCTAAAAGATGGTATACTCCTTTGACCAGTGCATGAAAATTACTGCTCTGTTTCTTCCTTAAATTTAAAGTGCCTCAAAATATTCTCGCCATCTACCCAATACCTCCATCTCCCATCTACTAACTCCCCTACTCTGTTTTTTTAACTGACAAATCCCATATTTTCCCTAGGCTTTCTTAACTTGTTTAAACTCCACTCCAAGATTTTTTCTTTTATTTTCATTAAATTTCTTGCAGTGCTCTCTCCCTCTCTATTCATCTGCTCTCCTTGTGCCAATCTCTCACCACTCTCTTTACCTTTCATTTTTAACTCTCCATATAACTCTGTCTCTTATTAACACTTCTGCTTGTAATACCTCTATAAGCTACCCTTTTCTTCTTTATCACACCCTTTACTTCATCAATTCCACACCAATCACTCCTCTTTCTCCTGCCCCCACCCTCTATACCACAAAACTTCTGCCCCACATTCTAATACTGCACATTTTTTTAAAACTATTCCAACCCTCTGCAAGCCCCCCCTCTACTCATCTTTGCACAGGAGACACCTTTCTGCCAATAGTCGCTTTATATCTCACCCTAATCTCTCTGTTTATACACTTTCACCTCCCTCTTAAGTGTTGTTGCCACCTTCCTTCTTTTCCCATCATACTCTTACTCTAAACTGTAGAACCTACAAAACTAAATATGTCGATATTTCAGTTGCCCCTCTATAAACATGTACATCCTGGGAGCCTACCATCAACCTTTTATCCACCATACATACATTAATAAACTACTTTCATTACGTGCTACATAATACCTTGTATATTTCATTTATCCTCTTTTTCATAAAATATGTATTACTTATTACCAAATTTCTTTCTACACATATATATATATATATTTTTACAACAGTCGGTTCGTCTCCCACCGATGCAGGTGACCAAAAAAAAGAAAGAAAAATCCCCAAAGAAAATACTTTCATCATCATTCAACTCTTTCACCACACTCACACATTATCACTGCTTTTGCAGAGGTTGCTCAGAAACTATAACAGTTCAGAAGCTTATACGTATAGAGATAACAAACATTATCCCTCAAACTGACAATATCCAAACACCTATTCCAGTGAGGCATTGTACTTACCATTTCCAAGGACTCAAGTCCGACTATATGAAAATAATTATATATATATATATATATATATATATATATATATATATATTTATATATATATATATAAATATATATATATATTTATTATATATATATATATATATTATTATCATATATATATATATATATATAGATATATATAATATAGATATATTATTATATATATATATATATATATATCTTATATATGTATATATATATATAAATATCTATATATATAATATATATATATATATATATATATATATATATATATATATTATATATATATATATATATATATATATATATATGTATATATATATTTATATTTTTTTTTTTTTCTTTTTTCAACAAGTCGGCGTCTCCCACCGAGGAGGTGTGACCCACCAAACACTGAAAGAAAATCCCCAAAAAGAAAATACTTTCATCATCATTCAACACTTTCACCACACTCACACATTATCACTGCTTTTGCAGAGGTGCTCAGAATACAACAGTTTAGAAGCATATATGTATAGAGATACACAACATATCCCTCCAAACTGCCAATATCCCAAACCCCTCCTTTAAAGTGCAGGCATTGTACTTCCCATACCGGCCGCCCCCGACAAACTCCTATTTCCACAGTATGAATTCTGCATAATATTTAGGTTGGTAGACAGCAACCACCCAGGGCTGTTTAGGTAGTCTGGTTATTTAGAGGTTGGAACACAGCAGAATGACTTGGAAAGCATAAAAATCTGTAGCACAAGGAAGGGTAGGGGTCATCCTAGAAAAGGCTGGAGGGAGGGGAAGGGTAAAGAAGGTTTTGTGGTCAAGGGGCTTGGACTTCCAGTAAGAGTGTGAGAGCTTGTTACATAGGAGTGAATGGAGATTAATGCTTTTTTGGGACTTGATGAGCTGTTGGAGTGAGCAGGGTAATATTTTGTGAAGGGATTCAGGAAAACCAATTAGCTGGACTTGAATCCTGGAGGTGGGAAGTACAATGCCTGCATTTTAATCCTTAAACAGTCCAAACGCATATATACATTCTCTCGCATAGCGCCCCAAATTTTTTGAGGAAAAAAAAAAATCATTTTTGTTTTTTTCAATAGGAAAAAAGAGCATATGATACCCAGGTGTCTCCAATTTTTTTTCATATGGCGCACACCCATTCTCTCATGTCTAGGTGACACAGGCTTATTGTGCTAATGTTGAATGAATGACAAAGGAAACATATATATACGTTTGGGGCGCTATGCGAGAGAACGTTCATATACGTTTGGACCATTTTAAGGGTTAAAGGAGGGGTTAGGAATATTGGCTGTTTGGAGCGACGTCTAAACTGTTATATCTGAGCGCCTCTACAAAGACAGTGATTATGTATTAATGATGGTGAAAGCATCAATCAATGACAAAAGCTTTTTTTCTTTCTTTTTGGGTCACCCTGCCTCGGTGGGAAAAGGCCAATGTGTTAAAAAAAATTAATTAAAAATTCAATTTCCTGGTTATGCAAAGAAATTTAAGCACTAGAGCTTCAAACTACTTAACACTTTGAACTGTTGTATAACTGAAGCAAGATTGACTGGTTGCTAAGTTTCATATTATTCTACATTAGGTATTAAGTGATACAAGAATATGCATTTATAATGATGGTTAACTACCTAAGAATATGTAAAAGTGAGATAGAGAATAAAAACATGATCAAACACCCACCCTATAAAGTTCTTCATCTGGCATAGTAAATAATGTTGTAGCAAGTCTCTGTCCTATTATGGGGTCAGCAACATGACCAGGAATTGTCATGTTAGACTGACCCTGAGCCACTTCTAATGCAAGGCGATCCTCCTGTAGGTGTAAGAAAGTGGTATAATTCAGAACACATCAAGTGTACAAAATAAAACAACTTTTGGATCTCAATAAACATGGTGATAGCAAAATGACTTAAAGGACTAGAATGTTAAAATAATGGTAAAAGCCTTCAAAACTATTGGAAAGTTTGACTTATTTCCAATATACAGTATTCAAATGAGATGCCTAGGTAATGCAGTCTTAATATTTTATACAGAACCCTACACTGTACAGAACCTGTTTTTAATTCTAGGGATTACTACCCCCCATGACTCAAGTCAGTTTCAAATCAGGCTTCCTGGTTGATAATCTGATAAGTCAGGGTGTGATGATGGCTGCAATGCATCCCAAAGCCTGGTTGATCAGGATTTAAGTCAAGGATCTTATCAAGTTCCTTTTTAAAGTCAGTTATGGATCTGATGGTAATTTCTCATATATGATGGGAGGGTGTTGAAAAGTCTTGAACCCTTTACACCTGTTAGATTATCCTTTAGTGTACTCATTGCACACCTGCTTTTCATAATGGGGAAGGGGAATACTTATGCCTGGATTCTAGGGAGTACAGCTTTAAGACCTCGAGGCTTTTCCAATAATTTAGTTGACTGAACTGATACAGGTAGTGAAACTTTTCTGTACAGCAATTTTCCAATCTAGAGAACAAGAATGTCTTGAATATGAGTGGACACTCTGCAGTTGTATTATAATAACTTTAGTGTGAAAGTCATGACATGCTTATGCCAAAATCAGCATTTTTATTATTATAATCAAGGGAGAAGCGCTAAACCCGGAGGATTATACAGCGCCTGGGGGGGGGGGATGTGGAAGGCATTCAGGCTTAATTCGGAGAACTGGAGCACAGATCCAATTCCCTAAATCAAAAGCCCCTCACCAACATCAAGGAACCTTCCTTGAGGGGGCCAAAATCAGCAGAGATATACATGTATTGACAAACATGCACTATAGACTTAGAGAAATATGTATTTCTTGATTATATTTCATGTCTGAACAAAAATATGAAAATATATTTCCTAGACCTCCATGAATATTCAACAACAGAGTACTAATTAAAAATGTGCACATCACAGTAAGAAATACAGTAAATTGTACTGTAAAAAAAAATTAAACACCCAGAGACTTCCTGTGCCCAAATCTCTTTTTTCTCTGGATAATTTTGTTTATGGATTCAATGGTAACACAAGACAAAATTTAAAGATATGGCAACAAACATAAAATGAGCCCAAACATGGAAAAAAATTATATGGGCAGCACTGCACATTTACCCTTGATGGAAGCCTGTTTATCATTGTTAGGTGTCAACTTATGTGGTAGGTATAGGGGTATAGAACTACAGGAAAATGTTTAGTTAAAAAATACAAGTAGACTTATGCACCAGAATTAAATAAAAATTATTTCTTGCCTAAATACATATATTTTTTTTTTTTTTTCAACAAGTCGGCCGTCTCCCACCGAGGCAGGGTGACCAAAAAAAAGAAAGAAAATCCCCAAAAAGAAAACACTTTCATCATCATTCAACACTTTCACCACACTCGCACATTATCACTGTTTTTGCAGAGGTGCTCAAAATACAACAGTTTAGAAGCATACACATATAAAGATACACAACATAAGTATATATGCCACCTTATAATTCTTATGAATTCTTCTATCCCACATGATGCTTAAATAATACAGAACACCTGCATGAAAACAGTTGGAAGACAAAATTTAGCTTGCATTACCAACTTAACCAAATATCCACCACAATGTACAGTATCATATAGTAGCTACACTGTAATTGCAGATTTCCACACTAATGTATCTACATAGAATGTAATTCTATGAAGTTTTTCGAGGGATGAGATACCTGTAGTAGAATTCAGAGAGCTAAATAAATTAAAAGATGAGAAAAAATAGGATAAATATACACAATACACAAATAACCCGCACATAAAAGAGAGAAGCTTACGACGACATTTCGGTCCGACTTGGACCATTGACAAAGTCACATTAAAAGTAAGATAAGAAGAAAATTAGGATAGTTAAATATATTAAATGAAGCATATTAGAAAAACTTACCTCTTCTTTAAATTTTGATGTATCCACTTTAACAGGAATGTAGAGAATGGGTAGCTGTGCTGTCGCCCTGTAAAACTAATTATACAAAACTCTTCCTTTCTTCTGGGCTTAAATGCTTTCGGGAAGAATGTTTCCTTTTATGACGAGTTTCTCTTGCAATCTCTGAATCATTCTCTGGCCGGAAAATTTGAGGCTCAGGTTTGAGGGCAGCTATATGCTTGTATTTAGGTCTTGTGCCTGTAACCAAACTGGTCCTGCTCCCTCCATTCCTTGATTCTATGGAATGGGGGGAATCGTTTTAGGGTTGTTGAATGTCTTTTTCCTCGACACCTCCCTCTTCAAGCATTTTTTGTCCAATCATCGTCAATTCTTCCCATCTTACACCACCAATTATATCATTTCGTTGTGAAAAACAACCTATGTTTTTTTCCCCTTCTTGTTTATCCTTTGTTCCATGTGTACTTTTCCGTGTATCACTCGCATGAGCACTATGAGTGTCACCACTATCATTGTTGTTATTGCTATCATCATTAACATTATTATTGTTGTTATTTGAGGTCACGCTAATAATGGACTGATGTAACGGAGGATCTTCTTGGCCCTCTGGTGGTGCTCTCTCACTCATTGCAGGACTTGACTGAAAAACAAATACAGATGTAGTTACAGAAAATTATTTTTATTTTTATTAACACACTGGCCGATTCCCACCAAGGCAGGGTGGCCCGAAAAAGAAAAACTTTCACCATCATTCACTCCATCACTGTCTTGCCAGAAGGGTGCTTTACACTCCAGTTTTTAAACTGCAACATTAACACCCCTCCTTCAGAGTGCAGGCACTGTACTTCCCATCTCCAGGACTCAAGTCCGGCCTGCCGGTTTCCCTGAACCCCTTCATAAAAGTTACTTTGCTCACACTCCAACAGCACGTCAAGGGTTTTAAAAAACCCTTTGTCTCCATTCATCCTACCAAACACGCTTACGCATGCCTGCTGGAAGTCCAAGCCCCTCGCACACAAAACCTCCTTTCCCCCTCCCTCCAACCTTTCCTAGGCCGACCCCTACCTGCCTTCCTTCCACTACAGATGATACACTCTTGAAGTCATTCTGTTTCGCTCCATTCTCTCTACATGTCCCAACCACCTCAACAACCCTTCCTCAGCCCTTGGACAACAGTTTTGGTAATCCGCACCTCCCCCTAACTTTCCCTATATTCACACCACACATTGCTCTCAGACATGACATCTCCACTGCCCCCAGCCTTCTCCTCGCTGCAACATTCATCACCCATGCTTCACACCCAAAATAAGAGCAATGGTAAAACCATACTCTCATACATTCCCCTCTTTGCCTCCAAGGACAAAGTTCTTTGTCTCCACCAGACTCCTAAGTGCACCGCTCACACTTTTTCCCCCCCATCAATTCTAAGATTCACCTCATCTTTCATAACCCATCCGCTGACAAAGTCCACTCCCAAATATCTGAATACATTCACCTCCTCCATACTCTCTCCCTCCAATCTGATATCCAATCTTTCATCACCTAATCTTTTTGTTATCCTCATAACCTTACTCTATCCTGTATTCACTTTTAATTTTCTTCTTTTGCACACCCTACCAAATTCAACCACCAACCTCTGCAACTTCTCTTCAGAATCTCCCAAGAGCAGTGTCATCAGCAAAGAGCAACTGTGACAACTCCCTCTTTATGTGTGATTCTTTATCTTTTAACTCCACGCCTCTTGCCAAGACCCTCGCATTTACTTCTCTTACAACCCCATCTATAAATATATTAAACAACCACGGTGACATCACACATCCTTGTTTAAGGCCTACTTTTACTGCGAAATAATCTCCCTCTTTCCTACATACTCTAATTTGAGCCTCACTATCCTCGTAAAAACTCTTCACTGCTTTCAGTAACCTACCTCCTACACCATACACCTGCAACATCTGCCACATTGCCCCCCTATCCACCCTGTCATACGCCTTTTCCAAATCCATAAATGCCACAAAAACCTCTTTAGCCTTATCTAAATACTGTTCAATCATATGTTTCACTGTAAACACCTGGTCCACACACCCCCTTCCTTTCCTAAAGCCTCCTTGTTTATCTGCTATCCTATTCTCTGTCTTACTCTTAATTCTTTCAATAATAACTCTACCATACACTTTACCAGGTATACTCAACAGACTTATCCCCCTATAATTCTTGCACTCTCTTTTGTCCCCTTTGCCTTTATACAAAGGAACTATGCATGCTCTCTGCCAATCCCTAGGTACCTTACCCTCTTCCATACATTTATTAAATAATTGCACCAACCACTCCAAAACTATATCCCCACCTGCTTTTAACATTTCTATCTTTATCCCATCAATCCCGAATTAACAAAAATAAATTAACAAAAATAAAATAAAATTATATCAAATAATAAATCATTATAGTAAATATAAATAGGATACAAATATAAGATAAATTTTTAGAACTTTGCTATGCAGTATTTTAAACTGACAAAAATCCTTAAGGTATTCTCCAGCCTGTGGTGGGTGGCAGTAATGGGTTTCAGTGGCAGTGGTGGGTGGCAGTGGCAGTGGTGGGTGGCAGTGGCAGTGGTGGGTGGCAGTGGCAGTGGTGGGTGGCAGTGGCAGTGACAGCGGTGGGTGATAGTGTCAGAGGCAGCAGTGGTGAGAGCAACAGGAATACTGCAACATGATGTAGATGAATGGTTCAGAGAACCGACATGTTGATAAATTAGACACATGTGCAACTCTTGGGTATCTTTATTGAGGAAACGTTTCGCCACACAGTATTCTATTCAAGATTGATGGACTGAACACATCAACTCAAGGTTGAGGGACTGATTACCTCATTCTCCTCCTGTTCTTCAAGTTTCTCTTACGTATGGACTGATGAAGCCACTGTGTGGCAAAACGTTTCCTCAATAAAGATACCCAAGAGTTGCACATGTGTCTAATTTATCAACTGCAACATGATAAACAGCAGCTACAACTCACCTGATCAAGACTGGTAAAAAGTTCCTCCAATGCTAATGAAACAGGTAGTAGGCCTTGGTCTCTCAGGTTAGACAGCAAGTCCCTCAGGTCACTTAGATCACGGATCTCAGTTCCTTTAGATAGGTCACCACACAAGCTGAGTCGACTACAACAAAAGAAAGAAGAAAAATAAATAAATCCTTACAACAGTGTTGGAAAACAAATCCATAACATACATTGATGAGGGAAACAAAACATTAGCTATTTATATACACAACCAAAAATCAAGTATTCATCCATCTGCCAACACATTCATATCGCTGATGCCTCCTTGTTTATTATGGCTGTTTCAATTCAGGCCTCCGTGTAAGGGGATGCTGGTGAAAGGCTCTTCAGCTTCAGAAATGGAACTCCCCTCCCCTCTCTTGAACCAAACCTGATTACCCCCCTTCCTCCAATTCCCTAGGTGTTGCAATGCCCATGAGTATAATAATAACTCTGTTCAGGTCTAAGTTGCCCTATCAAGGTATAAATTCAAGAAGAAGAAGAACAAGAACAAGAAGAAGAACAAGAAGAACAAGAAGAAGAACAAGAAGAAGAACAAGAACAAGAAGAAGAACAAGAAGAACAAGAAGAACAAGAACAAGAAGAACAAGAAACAAGAAGAGAAGAAGAAGAAGGAACAAGAAGAAGAAGAAAGAAGAAGAAGAAGAAGAAGAAGAACAAGAAGAAAAGAAAAACAAGAAGAAAGAAGACAGAAGAAGAAGAAGAAGAAGAAGAAGAAGAAGAAAGAAGAAGAAGAAGAAGAAGAAGAAGAAGAAGAAGAAGAAGAAGAAGAAGAAGAAGAAGAAGAAGAAGAAGAAGAAGAAGAAGAAGAAGAAGAAGAAGAAGAAGAAGAAGAAGAAGAAGAAGAAGAAGAAGAAGAAGAAGGAAGCTGTGGACCATAGAAGCACATCAGGCCAGCCTTCTCAATTTACATTGCAATCAGCATATTGTATACAAAGTTTCCTTCACAGAATCAAAGCTTTTATGTTCATTCTCAAAGCACCAGATGGCTCTCCTGTTATCCAAATCTATAGACTGTTCATCCTGCCATTTGGAGGCTGGCAGAAGAGAACAAATACACTCTTTTTCCTGGGACACTATGTATTACATGCCTTGCTGAAATGCATCACATCCATAGGTAAATCTTGTACACAGATACAGCATTGTCCTAAGTTAAGAATAGATGTCAAACAATGTAGGACCCTCAAGCTTGTATGGGTATCAGAGGACATCCTTGTAAAAGGCTGTTCTGTTTTCAATCATTCTCTATGTGGATGGCTTGTTTGGGATACTTTTGCAACCAACAGATATTGTCTAATATTTCCAAATCGACTGACCCAGTGGATTTTGCTCCACAATTCTGATGTCAATTATATAGAGGCTCATTTTATGGAACTGCTGGGAAGTTGTATCTGGCAACTTACAGATAAGTATAATAACTAGATTATGATTTTAATTTTTTCTACCAAAACTCTGACTACATCATTCGTGGTGCTAAGTAGCACAGTGGAAGCTAACATCAACTTAGAGATATATGTTAGAGCATTTTTAAAATAATAATATTATTATTATTATTATTATTATTAATGTTCATGGAAAAGTGCTAAACCCATACAGGTCATGCAATGCCTGAGGCATGGGAGGTAATCAGGGTTGATTAAAGGAAGGTTTGGTTTGGATAGCTCTAACTCCTTGAGTCAAGAACCCTTCACAAGCATCAAAGTACATCATCGATGAAAGGAAAGCATTTTATACATCATGATTTCAAAAGCATTTTATAACACATGATTTCTAAAACAAATATGATAACTAGATCATGTCAACCAACAAAGTATAAAAGAAACACATGTTGTAGCTCAATATTTGGAAATCTGGTTACATAAACGCAACTAGATAGAGAAATTAATATGTAGAGGCAAACTCAGCTAAGCAATATGTGCACACACACATGCCCTGCATAAATTTGCCATAGCAATGCCATAATTATAGTTACAAAAATGTACAAATGAACCATACACAATTTTAAAACTGTGTATATACTTACTTGTGAATATTTCTGGTGTGTCCTTCTACATCTGTCACATCAGTGAAGGAGACCCTTTTCTCGGTGTTTTTGGAGGACGGTAGATGACGATGAACAACACCCTCATTCTCCCTATTATCTTTCTCTTGCTTGCTAACTTGATTCTCAGTACACTTTCTGGATTCCATATCTCTGTCAAACTGCTCATTATTATGCATAAATTTCTCTTGGCTTGCATCTTGTAGTGTTTTCTCCGTACATCTTATGTTGTTTTCTATACTACTCTCAACTTTGGAAATGTTAGTAACATATTTGTCAAAATTATCACAGTTCTTTTTTGGTATTTCCCCACCATGGAATACATCAGCTCTAATGTCCAATGGAATGGTATCAAGACTTTCAAGCAGGACTCTTTGGTTACAAGCTGCAGCATAAGGAGGAAGCTGGTCCTTCACAGCAGGAGCCTTAACAGTGGCAGCCACTTCCAATTCGACAGGTGTTGTGCCGCCTGATGGCACACATGATGAGCTCTGCGATGAGGACCTGCTACCTCTTTTTTTTCTGGATGCCTTTTTGGAAAAAGTAGATTTCATGTAGCTAAGCATCTTCAAGTGGCAAGCTGACAATACAAGATGCAAAAACTACTGCAGATGTACCTCAGATGTTATCTCTATGACTCCACAGAGATAAGATAAAATAGTCTAAGGAACACAGTAATTGGTATGATACACATGCAAAAAAATATGGACTATAATATTAAAATATACACTTTTGAATATCTATTACATTAATATATTTTGACATCTTCATGGGAATAAAGTATGAAAGATATATATATATACACAATGTAAGAGAGGAAAAGAGTAAGAGGGGAAAAAGAGTGAAAATGAAAATCAGATCAACTAAAAATATGAAATTTATATCTCATCTCCATCTCCTCTTTAGTTCACTTTAGACTTGATTTGCATAATGTTAATTCAGAAAATATGATTAGTGTGTTAATTTGTCATCCATTTCCACACAGTACAGTACTTCATTATTATTATAATCAAAAAGAAGCGCTAAGCCACAAGGACTATACAGTACTTCAAATTATGTCTAAATGTGAATATTAACTTATTGTTAATGAGTGGTTGTCTAATGAGTCTACATTATGTGGCAGCAGGCAAAACTTATTATTCCATTAAAGTTACTAAGTTTCAAGAGTAAGAAGAAATAGTAAGGAAACTCAGACTGACCTCTTTCTTTCTACTATGACAACCTCGTAGTGTGTTTAATACAGATGATCTGCTGCTGAACACCATTACAGTCAGTAATTTATAAAGTACAGATAAATCCCTCAACAGTGCCAGTTGTAAACATTGTGTGGGGCAGGGCTCTGGTAATACAATGACAAGTTTCACTGGTTTAAGAAGTCTGAGGTCTTTATCAGGCCAAAACATATACTACACTATATCTTGCATCATAAAAAGCTTCATGATTGAACTGTGCCTGCTAAAGTTACAGGGGTAGTTATCCCCATAGTAATTACATACCTGCTTGTACTGTAGTTATATAAACTAAAAAATTCACAAAGTCCTATTTTTTGTATTTAATCTAGTTTATGGCTAGGCATGCCGATGAAATACTTTCAAGGCAACATTTATGAAGGAATTCAGGGTAAAGCATTTAACCCGTAAACGGTCCAAACGTATATATACGTTTTTTCAACATTTGAAAGTATGTAAAAAAAGTAGATCTTTTTGTTTTTTTATATTCGAAAATGTGTAAAAAAAACTTTGATCTACTGTTTTTTTTGTTATATTTGAAAATATGTAAAAAAACATAGATCTAATTTTGAAGCACTACACATGTGAACGTAGATCTGCTTGGACCGTTTACTGGTTAAGTGAACTTGAGTCCAAGAGGTTGGAAGCATAGTTCCTGCATTCTGAAGGGAGGGAGGGTTATATGAATTGAGATGTCTGCATGTTTCTGGCAGGCAACTACTGAGTGATGCTGCGTTTTTTCTGAGGGGTTGGGGGAGGTAAAGGAATTCATCCTACCTTAGTGAGGGATGGCCAGAGTTCATTTTTTTTTTTTTAACACACTGATCATCTCTCACTGAGGTGGGGTGACCCAAAAAAGAAACACTTTTACCATTCATTTACTTCATCACTGTCTTGCCAAAAATGTGAGGACACTACAGTTCAGATGCCATTACGTATTGTTACGGGCATTATTATTATTACTATTTTTTTTTCAACACGTTGGTCGTCTCCCACCAAGGCAGGGTGACCTAAAAAGAAAGAAAATCCCCAAAAAGAAAATACTTTCATCATCATTCAACACTCACTTCACTCACACATAATCACTGTCTTTGCAGAGGCATTCAGATACGACAGTTTACAAGTCCCTCCAAACTGCCAATATCCCAAACCCCTCCTTTAAAGTGCAGGCACTGTACTTCCCATTTCCAGGACTCTGAGTCCGGCTAATCGGTTTCCCTGAATCCTTTCACAAAATATTTCCCTGCTCACACTCCAACAGACTGTCAAGTCCCAAAAAACCATTCATCTCCATTCATTCCTATCTAACATGCTCATGCATGCCTGCTGGAAATCCAAGCCCCTCACCCACAAAACCTTTACCCCCTCCCTCCAACCTTTTCGAGGATGACCCCTACCCAAGACATTCTACTTTGATCCATTCCCTCTAAATGACCAAACCACCTCAACAACCCCTCTTCATCCCTGACTAATACTTTTAGTAACTCCACACTTCCTCCCAATTTCTACACTCCGAATTCTCTGCATAATATTTACACCACACATTGCCCATAGACACGACATCTCCCCTTCCTCCAACCGGCTCCTCGCTGCAGCATTTACAACCCAAGCTTCACACCCATACAAGAGTGTTGGTACCACTATACTCTCGTACATTCCCTTCTTTGCCTCCATGAATCATGTTTTTTGTCTCCACAGGTACCTCAATGGACCACACACCTTTTTTCCTCCATCAATTCTATGGTTAACCTCGTCCTTCATAAACTTACCTGCTGACAGGTGGGTTTATGAAGGACGAGGCTAACATTCACTTCTTCCATACTCTCTCCCTCCAATGTGATATCCAATTTTTCTTTACCTAACTCATTTATCTATATTCATTTTCATCTTTCTTCCTTTATACATGTACATTTTGACTGTATAAACCTCACTACATTTAACTATGCCCCGTAGGGCCACATCAATCATCTCCAAAAATTTCTAAATCAGCAAGCAATAACTACTACAATGTACAGTATCAAAAACTATTATTTTTGGACAACTAATAAATTATAAAAACTGGTTTGGTCTTTTGGGTCAGAAGAATATAACACTATTTTTCCCATACATTCTTCAGTACACATCTCGATTTTACGTAAAGTGCCAATTTTTATGAATGTGACCCATGCGATATTTAGAAGTTTACTGTACTGCAAAAGAATATTACAGTTGGGAATGTCAATTTCTCAAGAAAATTCCTGGAGGGTACCTATAATAGAAAAGCCCCTTTAACATAATATTTAAACATCTATTTCATGCTTCTAGCTTCTATTTTCCCATGTGCCATTATGTATGCCTTCAATCTTTCTCGAGGATGTTGATTACCAGTACAATACCATCCTGTACATTCTTCTTATAAGACTATGAGTTAGCTGTTAAATGTCCAAACCACTCACATACAGTACATTTATGAAATGACCCAATACCATTAACATTTTCATTTTTTTTTTTTTCAACAAGTCGGCCGTCTCCCACCGAGGCAGGGTGACCCAAAAAAGAAAGAAAATCCCCAAAAAGAAAATACTTTCATCATCATTCAACACTTTCACCACACTCACACATTATCACTGTTTTTGCAGAGGTGCTCAGAATACAACAGTTTAGAAGCATACACATATCAAGATACACAACATATCCCTCCAAACTGCCAATATCCCAAACCCCTCCTTTAAAGTGCAGGCATTGTACTTCCCATTTCCAGGACTCAAGTCCGACTATATGAAAATAACCGGTTTCCCTGAATCCCTTCACTAAATATTACCCTGCTCACACTCCAACAGATCGTCAGGTCCCAAGTACCATTCGTCTCCATTCACTCCTATCTAGCACGCTCACGCACGCTTGCTGGAAGTCCAAGCCCCTCGCCCACAAAACCTCCTTTACCCCCTCTCTCCAACCCTTTCGAGGATGACCCCTACCTCGTCTTCCTTCCCTATAGATTTATATGCTTTCCATGTCATTCTACTTTGATCCATTCTCTCTAAATGACCAAACCACCTCAACAACCCCTCTTCTGCCCTCTGACTAATACTTTTATTAACTCCACACCTTTTCCTAATTTCAACACTCCGAATTTTCTGCATAATATTTACACCACACATTGCCCTTAAACAGGACATCTCCACTGCCTCCAACCATCTCCTCGCTGCTGCATTTACCACCCAAGCTTCACACACATATAAGAGTGTTGGTACTACTATACTTTCATACATTCCCTTCTTTGCCTCCATAGATAACATATTTTGACTCTACATATACCTCAACGCACCACTCACCTTTTTTCCCTCATCAATTCTATGATTAACCTCATCCTTCATAAATCCATCCGCCGACACGTCAACTCCCAAGTACAGTGGACCCCCGCATAACGACATTAATCCGTTCCTGAGAGCTCATTGTTATGCGAAATTATCGTTATGTGAATGAATTTTCCCCATACGAAATAATGGAAATCAAATTAATCCGTGCAAGACACCCCAAAGTATGAAAAAAAATTTTTTTACCACATGAAATATTAATTTTAATACACACAAACTGAAAAAGACATGCACAGTTACATGACACTTACCTTTATTGAAGATCTGGTGATGACTGATGGGATGGGAGGAGGAGAGAGTCTTAGTGTTTAGAAGGGGAATTCCTTTCCATTAAGACTTGAGGTGTCAAGTCCTTTTCCGGGGTTACTTCCCTTCTTCTTTTAATGCCACTAGGACCAGCTTCAGAGTCACTGGACTTCTGTCGCACAACATATCTGTCCATAGAGGCCTGTAACTCCCGTTCCTTTATGACTTTCCTAAAGTGTTTCACAACATTGTCAGTGTAATAGTCACCAGCACGGCTTGCAATAGCTGTGTTAGGGTGATTGTCATCAAAAAAGGTTTGCACTTTAAGCCACATTGCACACATTTCCTTAATCTTTGAAGTTGGCAACTTCTTCAATTTCTCTCTCCCCTCCTCCGAAGCAGTTTCCTCAGGTGTGGCCTCATGCTGATTAAGATGATCTAGCAGCTCATCAGTGGTTAGTTCTTCATTGTCCTCCTCCACCAACTCTTCCACATCCTCCCCACTAACCTCCAACCCCAAGGACTTCCCCAAAGTCACAATGGATTCCTCAACTGGCATAGGATTCCCAGGGTTAGCCTCAAACCCTTCAAAATCCCTTTGGTCTACACATTCTGGCCACAGTTTCTTCCAAGCAGAGTTCAAGGTCCTATTAGTCACTCCCTCCCAAGCCTTACCTATAAGGTTTACACAACTGAGGA